TTTTTTTTCGCATGCCCCCCCCAAATCCCACCAGCCCCCCCCTACCTTATAAAAAATGAACGGTCCCTAAGCAGCTTACAACAAGGCAGCCTGACAAATTATCACAACAGAGATGAACAGTGCATAGTTTCATTGCAAAGTCTGCTTCAAATGGGCAACTTAACATCATCTGAAACGATTATTGCCTAACAGTACATATTACAAACCTTGTATTGAATTTCCCATGGCTTAGTGATTGCCGCCACGTCACACGCTGTCATCATCATCGCTCTCAACAACTCTCGGTTGGAGTCCTGGCTCCAGTTAACTGTATCAGAATGGACAATTTTCTCAAAACTGCCCCTCTTCCTGTAAAATAAAGGAAATAGTTTATGTCCAGAGTGCATGGCTTGAGTATATATCCACAAGCATGGGAGAGGTTTTAAGAACACGGGAGAAGAACATACAAAAACAAGAAGCGTAACCGAGTGCTCTTTGCACTTTTCGAGCGAACTGACGCGGAGCGCGCAATTCATTGAATATTTCACAATGAATACAAATCCCTCGTTAAGGTCACAAACAGCGCGATCAATTACTGCGAGGACAATCATTTGCCAAATGTGGTATTCCTCCCTATCCACGAAACTGCACTGTTCCAGCTAGCCATCCATAAAATTAAAAGAAATCCTAAATAGGCAACCAGTGAGGAGTCGTTAAAACCGGTGTGACCATACTGTTGAGTCCTGCAACCAAGCTTCCCGGCAGCATTTTGAACGCACTGCAGTCATGAAAAAGAGCGCTTTGGCATAATGACTGTGAAATTTCAAAGGAAACTTTTCCTGCAATATTCACCAATATATGATTGTTTCATAAACAAAGGAATCAAATAGGGTTGCAGCTGGCATATGCCCTGAGTAGTGAAACAATGTCTTTAACATAACGGAATAAATATATTTTTCGTATAGCAGAATGAACTTACTGAAAATAGAGAGCAAGGTCTGTAGACAGGATAGCGTGCTCCAATATCTTGATAGTATAGCGATAATCATCTGGGGACAGCCCCTCGAATATATTGTTTCCCTTAAAAAGAAGATCACATAAGTCAGTTTACATATATATTCAGCCTCTTGGAAGGCCTTTGCCTTATATGTCAGTGTGATAAAGCCGTGAATAAAATCTATATTATTAAATGGGAAGTGGTTCGCCGGATATCACGTCCCAGATTTATCTAATTAAATATCTCTGTGTAAATTGCTTAGACCAATCAGGTCGCATGTATTATTTTAGCTGACGCCAAATTTCAAGGTAAGTGCTCACTTTTCAGTTTTTGGATTAAAATCTGGGAGATTAAGTTTCTGACGATGAAACTCCCCGTTTTATCAAAGAAACAAAACCAAAGTACTGTATGAAAAACAGTTGAAGACGTGGTATTGTTTAAGGTTTTTTAAAGGCAAGAATATTACTTAAAGAACTGGATCTTGTTTACAGAAGTATATTCTTTCTGTGCGAAAATAAGATGGAACTTGTCATAACAGACACTTTTACGTTCCTTTGTCGCAAGCTTCGAATGGAGAAAAAAAACCCAGATATTTATCATCCAATCGCTACATGATGATTTGTTTGTAATTTTGCTCTCTATGCTGACACATTTTTCATTTTGGAATAAGAACGTTCTCTGGTTAAAAATATATTAAAAACATAAGCTTTCGGCTATCAATCTATAGCCTTTATTCGCTAAAGGCTATAGACTGATAGCCGAAAGCTTATGTTTTTAATATATTTTTAACCAGAGAACGTTCTTATTCCAATATGTTTTATCCTGGTTACAGTTCTATTTTTACATTTTTCATTGTTGCGTAGAATGTTACACTTTCAGTGGTTGGTTTCGCACAAAGAAATAAAATTGAACTAATTGCTTTGTGGTTCTATATATTTTTTTATGGCTAGAGATTTCAGAAAACAAATGAAAGGAAGAGAATAGGGCCGGGTAATACCATCTCCAAACAAAGTAACGTTCAACAGTGATGACGTAGGACATGGGATTGATCTGTTATCACTACAGCCTCTCAAATCACTACACTGAACAAATGATAATTAACAATTACACCCGTAGCCCGCAAGGGCTACGGGTCAATAGCCCATGAGGCGAAGCCGAATGGGCTATTGACCAGTGGCCCTTGAGAGCGAAGGGTCTAATTGTTTTAGGATCACCCATCTAGTCGAACAGAAAAGGCAATAATAAAGTTGAAGAAATATTAATTTGGGAATAAAACGAAAGAAAGCGTCACGCTCGATTGCGCCGATTTCGCTACTCGAGGACTATTACTTCTAGTCCTCTAGTAGCGTAGCCAATTAAAATGCAGGATTTGCATTAGTCCACTAGCTGGGTGATACTAACACCAGATTATAACACCTTACTTCAGAATTTAAGATCATGATACTATGATCAAAGTGGTGGTGTTCCATTGTAGACGTGCCATACAACTGCGCTAGCGGAGATTCGGTCCTGTGATAAAAACATGTATGATTTATTTCATATTGCTATAGTCTTTGCATAGTGATACGCCGGCAGTTAGTCCAATCACAGATCTTCTATTTTCCTTTAAGATCGTCGAGTGTGTGATCATGAGTACAACAAGTGCGAACGGTGTTTTAGTAAATCATTAACGCAGTAGATTCAAGACACTTGTATATGTTTACATTCCATGTAATTCTCTGTATGCTACGCAACATTCCTCTACTGTTCCTGAATTTCAGTTGTACCGTACTGGTTTACAAACATTCAAACCGAGACGATTATGTGGAGAATGGATGGGCAACCTTGCCTATCTCCGGCAGCACCAGATCTCCGTAACATAAATTATATCGAATGAAAACTAGATGAATAGTTTTTTACTTTCTAATGGCAATATTATCCCTTGCTAAACTGAAGTTCAATGTAAAAGTTCAATTCGTTTTGAAGGAGTTAACAGAAAACCTAAAAGTAGGTTCCTAATTAGTTTTCTCGAAACAAATCTAATTTATCTCAAAGAATGTCTGGGTAGTCTCATTTAGGATATTTGCATGATGCTCACTTGGTTTGAAATGCGTTATTGGTTCCACGATGATCGAGATCATGACAATAACAGGCCACTATTAAAGCAAACACTTCCAAGTCTGTGAAAAACCTCCTCATGTTGCCCGTCTATAAATAAAAATAAAAATAAATTACAATTTTTAGAGAGGAAAACACATCAGCTCTAGCTGGTTTCCGTTCGGGTCCTCTATCCTCTCTATTGAATGAGGAAAATTATTTCATCGTTAATATTCTCATCCGTTGCTGGAAATGGCAGGACTGAAAGGTCTCTGCTCTAAGCAAATAAAGAAGCAACAAATAACATGAGGTAGAATCCATTAACCGAGTCAGGGAACTGGATCTTCATTTATTTCGATACTAAGAGGGTTAGAGAGGCTAAGGAGTGTCAGTGTTCAGCCATTGGAACCTACACTTTCCATGTCATTAAAGGGGATTACTTAATTACGAGGGTTTAATTTTGTTTAATTTTTGAGTTGACTGACGGTCACTACCACAAACAACTATACTGACTTGATATTGCTTATTTACTCCACTACATAAATGTGTTGTGCATTCAAAACTGTGGCGCAGTTTATTTGCAGTTTTGCGTTTCGGTACAGCACATATAAGTATTCTTACAAGTTTGTTGCCGGCAATGATTGAAAAATCTAAGGACCAACATTTTCTGCAAATAGACAAAACCTGACATTAAAGGTATGTTTAAATCCAGCCAGGTTTCCGGGGAGACGCCATACACTTAAGTAAAACTACTCTATACTGTCATATAATATAATATATATATAATGTAGTATAATAATATATCTTTTAATTTTTAGAGATCAGCGTGTTGCTAAGGTGTTTCATTCGACTTCATTGCTCAGCCAACGGAGCAACTCTTCTGCACAGACTAAAAGACTCAGGGAAAGTATTCGTTACTCGAATTAAACCAGAGACAATTGCAGTTTAAAGGGAGCTGCTGCGTACCGTAAGCATTGTAAACATACTCTGTGCCACGTTGAAGGCGTGTCTCCAATTGTGATAAATGACAGGACGGTAGTTTTTCTTCACACTCAGTAACCATCGACAGAGTGTCTGAAAAGTGGAGATTACCGTTAGTATAGTTCACTTTTGACACGGTTAAACAGACTGTCAAGTCATCAAACAGACATCTTGTATAAAACAATAAGTTGGATAAGTTAGTACATGTTTAATGAAATAGTGATTAAAAGGAGCGACAGTCCTGGGGCGATCATCCACTTTCAAATTATAACGTCGTTGGCATGAAGTTATTCCAGCGTCCGACAAAACAGGGAGAGAAAAGGCGAAGAAAATTGGACAGCTGGAAAAGAAACACCTGTTTTATAGTTTCCCTTTTGTATTGCCTATTTCTGCAGAAGTTGGCAGTCGCAAAATTCTCATTCGGTGAGCTACAATGTGTAACATACATGTAAAACACCACCATGAACAAAGCCGCGAAAACTGATCAAGAATCGGCCGTAAACGGCTCAGAGCTGTTTGCCTACTGGATACCACAAAATTAGTTTCTATCAAACGTTTGTTTGCACAAAGATTTATGAGGCGAACAGGAACGCGGTCGGGCGATGTTTGTTAGTCAGTCGCCACTGTAGAGCATCATTCAAGACCTCTAAGCTGCAAAAGATGACAATCACTAGACCATCTTGCTGCGGATTGTCGCAGTTTATTGACTGATGAAATTCACCAGTGAAATTTTGAAAATATCATGCACTACGTCGCCACAAAATCCTAACTTGAAACATCATACTCCTGAGATATCATTGGTATCGCAGATGGCAAGATGTTAACACGTCTCCAGTCGACTTTGCACATAAAATTGTCGCCTACGCTTTCTGTCCCATCGATAGTTGCGGCTGTAATCTTTACGAAAAACAAGGACTTTCTTGAGACTCCCACTAAGTATAATTTTTATCTGCTACTGGTGACTTAGTGATTTGAACCCCTTCACCCCGTGAGGGGCATAGGTCCTCAAGGAAGTCTCTCCATCCCTCTCTATCTTGTGACTGTCAATCCAACTGTTGCCAGTTGATGCCTGCCTCTCTCATCTCCCCCTCCATTGACCGTCACCAGCTGTTCCTTGGCCTCCCTCTCTTCCGCTTCTCCTGTGGGTTCCATCTCAAGACCTGCTTGGCGGTGTTGGTATTTCATTTACCCAGAATGTGACCCAGCCAACCCCTGCGTCTTTCTTCTCTTGATTCGTAATTCCATTTTGACCTGTCCTGTTGTTTGCCATAGGTCTTCGTTTGAGGTGGTATCCGGCCAATAAATTAGTAAATGATGATAACATGACAGGATGCGGAGTTTATTGTAATCCCTTTACATATATACTGTACATTCCTTTCTAAGCCACTATATTGCAGCTCATCAAGTTAATGTGTAGTCAGTTACCTCTCGTTTAGTGTGCACAGCATTCAGAAAGTCGAGTTCTAGCATCATTCGTATTGACGCAAGAATTGTTTCATCATCTGTCAGCTCAAAATCATTGAACTCAAAAGTGTGAAGCTTGAATTGGTCAGCGCTGGGAAGTTCCTTGTTCTGAAATAGAGTAAACATTACATAAACATCTCCATACGACAAACTCTGCACGGAGGGTAAAGAGCGAAACCCAGATACCCAAGAACGATAAAAAACAGTGATTGGAAGACACTCTCTCCTCCATCTATAATAACAATAAGGAGAATTCTACTAGTATACGTACTAATACAAATGTTGTAATCTGATTGGCTGAGCCTTTGTACACTATCAGCCATTAGTGCGCAGTGGCTTGGTTTGGTCGACAAAATTGTAACGTTTCCTCGTTTCTCCGTAGTTTTGAAAGAACATTTACAAAAAATGAATGACCAAAATTTCTGGGAAGACTAGAAGATGAGCATTTACGGTTTCTTGAATTAAAAAAGCTCGAAAGTTTTGAAAGAAACTGATAAGCGCGCGTACACAACTCTAAATGTCAAATTGACAATTAATTCAGTCCGCACGAATTCTCTTAAGCTTGAAGTTTAATACTAAGACCAGAAATAATTGAAATCGCTATTTGAAAAACTTTTCAGCTATAATTCTATTAAAACAATTAGATTATTCGCTCTCGATTTCTATGAGGTGATAATTGATTCGGCCTTCGGCCTCATCCACCATCACCTCATAGAAATCGAGAGCGAATAATCTAATTGTTAATTAGCATAAGGACAACAATAGCCTACCAAAACAATAGCCAATTTTTGCTTCTCAGGCAGGAAAACCTGTTTCATTGATCATAACATGATGTTGCAATCAACAACACTAATAAATTCTTATCAAAGCCTACAGAAAATATCTTGACTTATATGACTGAATTAAATGACTTTTTCCCCGACGCGCGGCAATTGTGATAACTTAGGTTTTTAACATGCACGCTAATCTGTGCAGAAGATGTAATGTTTCTCCTGAACTACACTCAAAGAAAACTTAATAGCCATCAAACTCCGAAAATTTATGATATTGTACAGTACCAGAAATCCACGGACCCCAGGTCAAATTCAAATCAAATTCTGCCACCCAAAACCCATGATTACAAAATTACCCAGGGTTCACTTGAGAAATCTTAATAAAACTAGAAAGGAAAGTTTTCTACTTCTTCCAGATTCATCTCCCGCAGTCGCACACAGAAAACCAGCAAATAGCATTTTGGTGTTATAGGAATATCATTACAGCAAATTGCATTCTGATGAAAATTGCACAAGAAAACGATGATGGCGAACAATCGTTGTTGAACTAATGGATTTGAGCGCAACGGATGTAAGATTAGTGTGGAAAGTCTGTGTCAGACCAAGTGGTCCATATCGCCGAAACGTATCCGGGTTTCCGTATCATGAAGCAACTAGGAGTCTACTCTTCCCTTGTTGTGATGAAAGTCCATCGCAGGGTTACCCCCCAGCATTAAATTCACCAGTGCCCATTTATGCACCTGGGTCGAGAGATACTAGAGTAAAGTTTCTTGCTCAAGAACACAACGAAATTTCCCCAGCTCTAACTGCTAGATTCGGAGTGCCAAGCCCTAACCATTAGGCTGCTAACCCTTCCATTAGTGTGGGAACCTTTAATTTTAAACGAAATGTTAGAAGACATGTAGACAAATAAAATGGTAAATAATTCAGAATTTTACTGACCTAGAATCAGAGCATACCCAACTAGCATACATGGTCAGGCAGCATGCTAACTAACCCGACTCGAGATTAGAAAACTACTGCTTCAACCACAAATGGGAAAAAGGAAAAAATGCTCGCACTGGAGGGTTCCCTTCTGCGTGAAACATGTCAAAGTGACAAGGCTTTGAAAACCTGTCATGACAAACTGCAATTGGAAATTATCCATCTGGTAAGTTGTGCATGTGTGGAAAGGTGACTCTCCTCGATAACATCTGTGTTTCCATACTATCCAGCAGACATTTGCGCAGCTGAAGGCTGTTTTTCTACGAATCCAACAGTAAGATATGGAGTGCTTTGTACTCTGTACGTTTACTGTGTAAAGCATTTCTGTGAGCGCTGGCTTACCTTGATCTTGTCAACTTCTGCTGGTTGAGCTGAGGCATGGTAAGATAAAACCTGAAAAAAGGCATGATAACATCTCATTTAAGCAGCTCAATACAAGAGGTCAAACAAGAAGCAAGAAACTGATTAAATTCAATGGCTTAGTCCAGATATAACATGAAACAAATGTAGAGCAGTTTAAAGATTAAAAGAGCCGCAAAATGTGATAGGCTTGAAATGCACACTTATTGGCGTGCATGAATTACTTTCCATCACAGAATATATAACATAACATATATATATAACAAAAACCTTTCCAGCATTAGTCTGAACTCGTATGAAATGAGTTTGAATGTCAAATAACTTTGTTAAGTAAAGTTCCTCGGAAGAGGTTATCCTCGGAGACCCAGGAGCAGTTAGTGAGGAGGAGAGAAAGTCAAAGCGGCAGGGGAAAAATCGGCGAAAAAAAGTTGGAGAGAAAGCGAGGAGCCCTTACTGCGCCAGTACAAAACAGTTGTATAAATGCTGACTTCTTATTGGGCAGAAAAATCCTTTGCACTATTCTGGCCAATCGGCGGGCAGTAGGTCCACAGTTCGTTTCGTGTGTTTTAATACGAAGCCTACGTAAAGACTAGTTCTTTCGCCATATTTGTCTTGCTTGTTCGACGAGATTTTACTCGAATAGAATAGGTATAAAATTCTAGCCTGCTTTCCCTCCAACTTTTCTTTGCCGATTTTCCCCCGCCGTTTTGACCTACCCCTGCCCCACTAACTGGCCCTGAATGTCCGACGATGGTTACAGGTAGGCCCACCAAAGGAATCAGAAGGGAGATGATTCCTGAATTTTTAACCAAATTAAAGCAAAGGCTCCTGATTAAGCGAACTGGATAAATGACTTAAAATACGTGAAGACATTCCTTGCAAAAATCGTTGTCGAGGGAAAAGGGAAACTGGTTCAAATGCGATGCATACTGTATGTTCAATACTTTGACCGTTATTTGGAGTAGCATTATTCGTTAGTAGTAGAGTAGTGGAGTAGCATTATACCTTGTTTTGATAGTTGTCAATAGACTGATTTCGATATATTAAAATCCAGCTTTGCAACGAGACTTAGAGGACACAATCAAAGGAAACTGAATGAGCATGTTTATTCATTTCTTTTGTTTGTGTCCTCTAGGCCTCACTATCAAGCTGAATTTTAATATATCGAAAGTGGCCTATTGGCCATAACATGGACGTCCAATATCAAAGAGGGTCCATGTCTCTGTCAACCTATTAGCTGGAGTATGGCCGCAATCTTGCGCGACTCCGTCGTCGTCGTCGTGCGTGCGTGCCCATGAGCAATACCAGTAGCCATGATAACCATGAGAAAATCAATTCATGGGTTTGCTTTTCTTTCCTATATGGGTATGGGGCTCCGCTATGACGTGTTCATGTATACAGTGAAACCGTCGAAAGTTTGCAACTGAAGATGACATAGGAATGTCGAAACATGTTTTGTAAAATGAAAAATGTCGTTTCCTTTTTAAAAATAATACGAACTGAAAAAAAGTTGGCAGAGTCATCCCAAATTTATTCATGTTGTACGTCCTAAAGTGTAATACAGCTTTTACTTAACTATCCGAAGGCAACGACTACCAAAAAATATCCGTTACTCAAGAGAAATTAACAGCCCCAATACAAACGTAATGGGGCTTGTTACCATTGGTACCCCCAACAGCAAGTTTTTCATTATCACATTCCAAACTATATTGAGTTAACCGACTCAAGATATCAATCTCCTTTAATTAGGATGTTATGAAGCACGAAATTCTGGCTGCACAATGCCACAACCAGGAAGATCATGCCATGCAAGTTTATTAAAAATAAATACGTACGTCCATGGCGACAGTCTGCTTGGCAAGAAGCTTACAAGCTTGCTCATACATTTGTGCATTGTGAATTCCAAGACCACAGAAAATGGCAAATGCCTGCAAAAAGACAAACCTTATCATTGGCTTACAAATACTTGGCCAGAGCACAACTGTAATTGGCTAGTGCCATGACACAATAAACTGTTGACCTTGCAGTTTCAGTCGTAATTCCGTGGAACATAATCTGATATTTTTCTTTACCTCAAACAGACTCTCGTCACTCTCGGTGAAAGGTTTACCATTGTTCTTGTTTAGTAACTGTGCAACGCCTAAAATATGACAAAACCATGGCGTGAAAACACTTGTAACATTATTGAATATATTTTAAAGGGAACTGGTCAAAGCAAGTTTACATACTAGGAACCCACGTTTTGGAGGGGGGCTAACTTAAGAGGCCATGGGTCTCCTGACGGAGGTGAAGGGCTACTTAAGAGGCCATGGGTCTCCTGGCAGAGGTGGGGGCCGGGGCCTACTTACGAAGCCATGGGTCTCATGACAGAGGTGGGGCGGGGGCGCTACTTAAGAGGCCGTGGGACTCCTGATGGAAGCGGGAGGCTACTTTTAAGAGGTCATGGGTCTCCTAGCAAAGGTGGGGGAAGGCTACTTAAGAGACCATGTGTCTCCTTGCAGTGGTAAAAAGTCAGAAGTATCTTTCCCAGGTACGGAGCTGTATTTTAACATATTCTAGACATCAGTGTCAGCAATTGCTTGGACAGAACAATGGAAATGATTTAAAAACCCATATTTCTGCAATTTGCACTTTCAAAATGTTTGTTAGGTATTCTAGAAATGTATATTGCACTGAGCTTTCCTACTGTGTATAAATATGCAATCAGAATCAGACATGCCCACAGAATTTCTTGAATGTAAATCAAATACATAGAGAGCAGAATCTAAGTCCTGTAACAAGGTCATGACATAACCCTGTGACACCATAGTTGCATAATTAAATTACTAGTGAAAGTATAATTTCATCCAAGCTGAACCAAGTAGCAAAAAAGGAGCGCTAGCATAGCCTGCAATGCAGGTGTATTTTGGCGAGCGAGCGCACGCATTGTGATATCGCAAGAGATGAAACTCAATCGCGAGCTAATACCGGTAACTCGTGAACACACAGAAAACGTCTGCACTGTAGGCTAGCAATAGCGTTGCTTTCATGTTCGAATCCGATCACGCCTCGAAGAGTATTTACTCTGCATTGTGCCTGTCTGGGCGCTACTGCATAGAGTGGATTGGTATTGCTGGTTTCCACCGCTCATGTGATCAAAACTAAAAATCGTAACCATTCAGTAGATAAGGTCAAGAATCTGGGATATAAAGATAATTAATATATAAACAACCTGGCCAAGATTTAGGCCTCTGCGGTATAAGACAAACATTTTATTTCTTTCGCTCACAAGATTATAGATAGCAACCTATTTACAGCCAAATAAATTTGATGCTTCAGCTTATTATAACAACTATAAGACATAAAATAAAATTCAAACTGCAAGGAAGCGTGTCATTGATTAAAAATCACGGAGGTCTGCAGTGAAGCCTTCAGATTTCCACTGAGGATGGAGCTCATAGCAGTGTTACTATTCCCCTGGGATTCCCATGGAATACTGGCCAACTGCAGCTTATTCCCCGTCCACCCCCAACCAGCATTTCATTAGTTCCCATTAGTTCCCATCAAGGTAACAAACACCCCAAATCGAACATGGGATACAGTATCCATAGACCGCAGTGGACCATACTCAGATGGTCACTAACAACCTCGTTCTGATCGACAAGAGGACCAGATACCCAGCAGCAGAGCCCGTAGAATCAGCCAGCTACCAAGCAAACAAAGAGAGACTAAAACACATCTTCACCATGTATGGAACACCGAGAAGAATAGAGAGCAACGGTGGATCCCCAATCAACACTAAGAAATTCAGTGAATTGGCAACGCAAGAGAGATTCCAACAACATAAAGAAAGATCTCTCATCTAAGCGCGAATGGTGAGACATAGAGGTTAGTGTGAATGTTAAACAGGATGGAACAGATTGCTTGCAAGCTAGTTTTCAAGGGAAAGATCGGTTTGAGAGACAGAATGCAATACAAGACATGCTAATTACTTACAGATCAATGCCGCACTCAGCTACAGGAATCACACCTTATAAGCAATGAGACAAGGAAGAACCAGCATTGGAAGAGACTGCAAGTTCACAGTCACAAGGACATTGTAGAAACTCCAACAGAAAGAGATCACCTACCCAACAACAAAAGAAAAACAACCCGCAGGTAACCACAAGTAAACATCGACCATCGACCAAGCATTAAACATCCAGCCCAGAAGGGAAAAACGCAGAGAAAGATACTCAAAGGACTATGTAATAAGCTAGCTAGGAGTCATTAATTGACAGTTAAAACTGTGTAGTTAATGTTGATTGAACATTACTAGAGTTGTGACCTTACGAGGGATTTAGGAGTAGGCAGAGGAATACCGGTCGTTTCGCCAACGTGTCAGTTTATTTAGCATTTACAAACTACACGCACAATCAATCAAATATATTTAGACTCAATGACGCTAGAGGTTAAATTTTGAACAGCAACTTCTACACGCGTAACCAAACAAATATGTTTACACTCAATGGCTCTTTAACTACACAAATGTTTAATAATTAAAAAGGTTTTTACAGGCGGTTTGTTCTGTCGCACTTTGTAATAATCATCGCACTTTGTAATACCTGTCGCACTTTGTAATAAAACTGTCGCACTTTGTAATA